ATATATATATGTATATATATATCCCCGTGCCTGCCTTTAATTGTTTTTGGTGAAACATTCTTCTAGGTCGTGTAACCCTGGTATGTTCACTTGCTGTGTAGAGGTATCTCGTGGTCACTGTGAAGCTGAACACTGTGACACTGAGGAGTCAATTGCGAGAATGGATACCCATGGTGGACAGTGTTTAGTGGAGCACCCCAATTAAAACAAGCTTGGAAGCAGGAGTGGCATCCACTTCCATAAGAGCTTGCCTCTGGAAACCCTATGAACCTGGAGAAAGGATGAAAGTTATACAAGTGTCCAGGACTTTCGTTCATAGTGTCGCTATGAGTCGCCTACGACTCGACGGCACGTAACAATAACACAAACTTGCAATAGTGTGCATTTACACACACAGACATCAAGAGGAAAAGTGGGAGAGCAAGAAAGAGAACTCATTGTTATCAACAACCAACTCACAACAACGCTACATACAGAGCAGAACATGGGGCTTCCAAGGCCACAGTCTTAGGATCACCACATTTTCCTCTCTTGGAAGGGCTTGTGGGTTCCAAGAGTAAGAGAAAAACTTCTAGTCTGAAATAGACTTTTATCATTTCCCTGAAACAACATTTCAGGCTGACTGGTTAGTGACAAAACCACCTAAATTCATTATTTCAACTTCATTTCCCCTTAAAGTTTTTATCAACTACTTGTACCAATTCCTGATACCAGAAGATAAAAGCTATGAAACATTTTCTATCCAAAACAGTTGTTTTCCCTACCTGCTGGGTGCGGAAGGGGGTTCTGGCTCAGAAGCCACCAGCGTGGTGATGGTTGTGTCTTCTAAATCTTCATTCTCTAGAAAATCAAGGCAAGAAAGAATTCAATATAATGATAATAATAGATGGATAGAAAGACTATTAACAGAGGACATACACTCATACACATCCTGTTTAACCCCTGCCCAATAAGACAGAAAGAAATGAAAGCCAGACGATACATTTTAATATAAAACAAAATATACCTTTAACATTAAAAGTTTCAGAGTCTAGTAACAACACAGATAAAAACATATGCAGGCCAACTTTAACCTACTCACCTTTTCTGTCAGTGAGATAAATTTTTCTTCTTATCAACTAATTGTCTCATAGGTAGAAAAATCTGTAAACTCATGCAACCCAACCTTCCTCCCAAAAAGGATTTCAAATCTAAGACCTCACTCTCTGTCACCTTGTGAAAAGGGCATTTTACTGTGGTCAGTGCTGACAGAAAGTCCTCCCATGATGACCTCAATAAAAGCCACTGCTTCATCAATTTGACTCTTTAATCATTCTTCCCACAACAGTTTCAGACATTTACAGCCTGCTATCACATTTCCTGCAGGTTCCTTCTCTCCAGTTCCTCTATTCATTCCTGACATGGCATCTGACCATGCATGGCCTCTGACCATGCTGACCTCTTTCTGTTGTTCCACATGGTTTATTCCATTTAAAGGAAGGAGCGAAAGGGACTTTTCCAGTTGTTCTAATCCACGCAGAGCACACAAAGACAATAACCTTTTAATAAGGACACAGGGTTTCTTCACATAATCCCACAACTAAGCACTAGATTTTTCAACTGCAACCTTACCTGGTTGGCCTAAATAAGTCAATCATGGTCTCCAGAGCTTATAAAAATAATTTTTTGTTCCCAAATCTAGTTCCCCTATGCTCTATTTCTGAAATAGACTTTTTGAGAAGTGACTTTTTAAGTGTAGAAATTTGTATATCTATATTGTTTCTTTCAATTTGACTTCTTGAAATTACACAAATACATGGGGTTTCTAAAAATTTCTCCTTCCAGACTTTATTAACTTTGAAAAAGGTTAAATACAAATAATCTGTTATTCACAATTAAAAACCAAGAAATATAAACACGCAAAAAGAAAAAAAAAGTAAGTATAACTCCACTAACCAAAAATAACCATTTTTAACATTCTAGCACATGTCCTTTCATAAACATACAGAAAATATGTACATTTACATGTATACACACAACAATATATGTTCTCATGTTTCAAAGTATGTATGGGAGTGTAACTGAAAAACTATGCACCAAAATGCTAGTATTTTTCATTAACACTTTTTAAGGTCAATAAAAATATTTGAAAACCCTATTTTTCAAAATATTGAAAAGAGTAGAAAATCCTGGATCCTAATAGCATTCTCATCACATGGTCATTAAGTCAGTTCTATGGCGAGCTCTGGTGGCCTAGTGGCAGGAAACTGCACTGCAATCCCAGAGGTGTGCGGTTCAAATCCACCAGATGCTCTGCTGAAGAAGGAGGAACAATTGCCTCCTGTACCAGTCAGCAGATCCAATTTGACGGCACACACATTTATGGGGAGCTCTGGTGGCCTAGTGGCAAGGAGCTGCAACTACAATCCCAGAGGTGAATGGTTCGAATCCACCAGATGCTCTGCTGGAGAAAGAGGGGCAATCTCCTCCTGTACCAGTCAGATCTGATTTGATGGTACACGTACACAAAAATAATAAAATAAAAATAAAAAAGTCAGTTCTAACTCTGTGGTTCTCTAGAATGCAGCAGGATGACCCCATAGGGTTTCTGAGGCTATAAATCAATATGGGAGCAAACTTCCTCTTTCACCAACTAGTAATGTTTATATAAACAAACATATACCTATCCTACAATATAAAGAAATCATTTTTAAAGATGATTACTGTTAGCTCTGGTGCCCTAGTGGCAAGAAGCTACACTGCAATCCTAGAGATGAGTGGTTTGAATCCAACAGATGCTCTGCTGGAGAAGGAGGTATAATCTCCTCCTATACCAGTCATCCTTGATTATAGCAACTCGAGGTTTGAATTTGTTCTTCAGTTCCTTGAGCTTAAGATATGCTGAGCGAGTTCGACCCTTTTGATTTTCCGACTCCAACTCCTTGCAC